AAGGCCTCCAGGGCTTCAAGGCCTTCAATGCCAGTGCCATGTGCGGGCGCTGCACCTGTGAGGCACAAGTCATAGGTGCAGTTGTCGCTGAAATCCGAGGCGAGGCATGACGTAAATCACATGGGGACCAGTAGGAACCAAACGTGTTGATAGCTGTGTTGAGCCCTGACATGCTATGACGCTATGGACACATATTGACACCATGTTCGGACATATTTGAGGGCTGAACATCATGAACACCCATCAATTCCAGCCATTCACAAGCTATCTTGATGTTGGCCAGTGACAAGGGTTTGGACCCATACACAATGAAGAAAAACTCAACTATGTCTGTCAACAGCAGGCACAATCTCTATCGTTCCAAGTGGAAGCGCATGCGACTGCCTCCACCAGATGAAAGAGCCTGTAGCCGACTTGCCTCACACAAGATGGCGTGTCGATTGGCACCTTTCAAACCGTTAAAACTCAAAGAATGGCGTGGGGCTGAAAGGACTAGGACCGTTCTCTGAGGTGTTTCTGCAGGGTTGGGGTTTGGCGCATCTGGCCTCTAGCTGAAAACAGTGTAGCCAGTGGTCCTGGCGTAGCGACCCGCGGCGTTTCAAACTCTACGAAACAATTTCTTGTCCCGTGGTGTTGAAACATGAAAGTGGTCCGTGTCATGTTGTCTGGTTGGTGGTTTCAAGCCCCTGTAAAAATACGTTGTTCATCATCCCGGATGCAAAATTGAACCAATAGTCAAACCCTTCCAAAGATGCAGCCCGCGAACCCGAATTCTCACACGTATGTTCATGGTACAAATGTCAAAAAACACAGAGAGGAAAACCTCATAGATGTTGCAACCCGTGGCTGCAGCCCATTTTGTATCTTCGGCAGATTATGATTGTGCGATGAGGACGCTACGTGTGAAGTGTAAAGTGTGGAGTGCAAAGTGTAGTGTAAAATGTAGTGTGGAGTGTAAAGTGTAAAGTGCGGAGTGTAAAGTGTAGAGTGTGGAGTGTAAAATGTAGAGTGTGAAGTGTAGAGTGTAGAGTGTAGAGTGTCTACACATCTACACTTAGAAGTGGAAAGTGTAGAGTGCGGAGTGTGGAGTGCAAAGTGTAAAGTGTGGAGTGTGGAGTGTCAAGTGCCAAGTGGAAAGTGTGGAGAGTAAAGTGTAGAGTGTGGAGTGTAAAATGTAGAGTGTAGAGTGCGGAGTGTCAAGTGCAAAGTGTGAAGTGTAAAATGTAGAGTGTGGAGTGTAAAGTGTAGAGTGCGGAGTGTAAAGTGTAGAGTGTGGAGTGTCAAGTGCAAAGTGCAAAGTGTGAAGTGTAAAATGTAGTGTGGAGTGCAAAGTGTAGAGCTTGGAATATAAAGTGTCAAGTGTAGAGTGTGGAGTTTCAATTGTAAAGTGTAGAGTGTGGAGTGTCAAGTGTCTAGTGTAAAGTGTGGAGCGTAAAGTGGAGAGTGTGGAGTGTAAAGTGTAGAGTGTGAAGTGCGTGGTGTATAGTTTAATTCGTGAAGCGTAAAGTGTAAACCGTAGAGTGGAAAGTGTAAAGTGCAAAGTGTAAAGTGTAATGTGTAGCGTGTAGAGTGTGGAGTGTAGAGTGTGAAGTGCCAGGTGTAAAGCGTGAAGTGTGAAATGCAATGTGTAAAGTGTGGAGTGTGGAGTGCAAAGTGTAAAATGTAGAGTGTAGAGTGCGGAGTGTAAAGTGTAGAGTGCGGAGTTTAAAGTGTCAAGTGTAAAGTGTATGTATATATATAGTCTACAGTGTTGAGTGTAAAGTGCACAGTGTGGAGTGTAAAGCGTAGTGTGGAGTGTAAAGTGTGGAGTGTAAAGTGTAAAGTGTAGAGTGTAAATCGTGAAGTGTAAAGTGCGGGGTGTGGAGTGTAAAGTGTAGAGTGTCGAGCGTAAAGTGTAAAGTACTAAATACTGCACCTGCCAAGCAAAATGGCATTCCACACATGACGGATCTGCACCAAATGCTGCGCCTGCCACACAAAATGACACTCTCGCGATGTCCCAGGCTTGCCACGCGATTTGCACGTTGCCACCACCCTGACAGTACGATTCGCACAAAACGCGCAACACCGCACGTCCAAAGTGCTGCGCCTGCCACGCAAAATGACGATGGAGGTCTCCAAAGTGCTGCGCCTGCCAAGAAAAATGCAATCCCTCTTCTGATAACCTCGCAAATGTATTGCGCCTGTCACACGGAACGACTTTTGTCACCTCATGAAACATGCTGCGATGTCACAAAGTGCCACACCTGCCACACGAAACAAGGTTGCACAACATTTGACTTCAAAAGTGACCATTTTTGCAGGAGACTCCCCAGAAGCACGGCCAGACCTCATACGAACGGCGGCGAACGGTTGCGGACGGTTGCGGACGGTTGCGCAACGTCTAGCGAACACACCCTCAACCCCCAAACCCCCAGAGTGAAACGGGAACCCTTGCTATGCATTCGGGAAAATCAGGGCGAACAAGGGGAAACAGCGGGTTCGACTTTAGTTATCAGTCCTAACAAGAAAAAATGAGTATCATGTAAGATTCAAAAGGTAAAGGTTTCCCAAAATACCCCCAAAATCCTCCATTTGTAGTAGGCTGTTCCATAATAAACACGTATCCCTATGACTTAGGAAACCCCCAACGGATCGCTTCCGTGGCGCCTTGCTTAGAACCACCACCCGAAGCTGCGGCGAGGCCCAACGCCGAGGGGACTGGCGAGGGGAATGCGATGATTGCTAGTTCTTATGGATGGACCCCCGATTCTCTACTAAACTAGTAGCAGAAAAGGCAGACAAATGGCAAAGACATGAAGTGTTCATTCTGCCAAATCATTTGGAGAAATTGCAACATGTTGATATTGCAACATATTGCAACGTTTAACGCTGCTCATGCATATACACTCCTTTTTCAGCTTGGTCCGGTGTCTTGATACATCGAACTCCTGCAGGAACCAAGAAATCAACTGTGCTGCCATGGTTGTGGTCAGAAATAGACAGAAGGTATGGGATCATAAGCACGACGACATATATAGAATAATCAAGAAGCAAGAATCTGTGTGGTGACACAGGAATCTGAGTTTTGATCGAATTTTCCTCGGAAGATGAACTTACAATATCTCGCACCTTGCATTAAAGAAATGAAACTCAAATCCTGAAATACTCTACTTTGATCTACTTTACTACTAGTTACATAGCCACTATAGATCCATCTTTAGTTCGACCCATATTGCTGTGTCTCCCCATATCCTGCACCCATGCGGCTGCTCGTTCTTCAGCAGCAGTTGATGGAGCTGGCAGTTCATGCAGGGAGCCTTTCCCGATGCTGTCAGTTGCGAGACTTCAAGCTAGTCGGGCAGTTTGAAAAAAACTCAACATGCTCAGTATCGGCCTTCATGCTACATGGTACATAAAATGTACATATACATATATGTATGTAATTATGCCTTATCTACATGTATTTAAATCTATCTATCTATCTATCTATCTATTTATCTCTCTCTCTCTATCTCTCTATCTCTCTATCTCTCTATCTATCTATCTATCTCTCTATCTATTTATCTACCTACCTACCTACCTACCTATCTCTCTCTCTCTATCTATCTATCTATCTATCTACCTATCTATCTATCTATCTATCTATCTATCTCCCTCTCTATCTATTTATCTACCTACCTACCTACCTACCTATCTATCTCTATCTATCTATCTATCTATCGATCTATCGATCTATATACCATAAAGATGTCTATACTATTAATATGTCTAATTCATTAATATAATTATCTTTATTATTAATATATCCATTTTTTGAATATATATATATATAGTTATTATTATTATTGTTATTATTATTAGCAGTAGCAGTAGCAGTAGCAGTAGCAGTAGCAGTAGCAGTAGCAGTAGTAGTAGTAGTAGTAGTAGTGTTATTGTTATTATTGTTGTTATTATTATTAATATACCCATATTATGAATGTATCTGTGTTATTTATATGTATTTACCATATATATATATATACATATCATTAATTCCATATATACATATATCTGTATGTGTGAATGATATATAATATAAATGTATGCATTAGTTATATATTACAGTATTTACTATTATATATAATATCTAATATAATATATACGTATGTGTATTGCACTAATATATGTATGGATAACGATTATACGTATATATCATTAATATCTATATTATTAGTATGTCTATATTTAAAATATATCAACATTATATATATATACATTTATACGCTATTAATATACCTATATCATTAATATATCTATGCTATTTTTATGTAAATGCATTTGATATATATATATACACACACAGAGTGTTAATATCATATATACATATATCTATGTATGTATATTTTACTATATGTATATATTATTAGTATTATTATATATATACATCTACAAGTAATATATTTATAAATAATTATGAACAGCTTATATACATATGCGCAAGCTTCACCCGGACTTGTGATGGAACGACAAAGAAATGCCTTCTTCCAGCAGGCGCTCCTGCAGCACTGGGCACATCCCCAAGTTTTATCACTCTTAATAGGGAACGAATACGGGAAAATGATGATTAACCAGAAAAAAAAAACATGAAAATCATGAAAATTGGGGTACAAGATCTCACAAGCAATTTTCTCAAGAACCTTCTTTGATCACTAGTCGAGATTGGTGCCAGCTGTCATTAGAAGAAAACCGTTGAAGACACACGGCAACGCAATGCAACACACTTTTCTCAACAGCTTGGGACGACTTGAGCTTCATGGCATCAGCCTCAAATGTTCACACATGTTGATCAGGGATGCTCGGCCAAGCCGAACCTCTTTCGATCTCTTCAAGCAGAGCTACTAAAGCTAATAATGACGATGGGGTAGTAGGCATGCGTCGAAAAGCTCAGTCGTCACTTTTTTTTGTCAACCAATCCTTTTTGCATTCGCGAACCGGGGATCCAGACCACTTCTGCTGCTGTCTGGAGCAACACCGGCCGCTTAGCCGAGACCTCCCCGAGCTTGAATCTCACCTTGGAAACGTCTGCACACGTGCATGCAAAGCATGCATCTATTACTGTAAGATAATCCATCCCAACCAAACTGGAAGAGGATACAGTACATTTAGATACATTTAGTACATCTTGTTCTAGTTTATTATGTTTATTCCCATGTACGTTCTCAAACTCGCCACAAGAAAGCCCCAAGGTGCACCGTACTCTTCTTATCGGCCTTCAGGATACTGATCCACACCTTCTGCACAAAGCACCGCGATTTCACAAAGATCCCAAGATTTGCAGAGCAAGTTGCGCATCTTATCTTGGTTGACGCGATCACGTGCCCTATCCGCAGAACACTCCACGGTTTTCCAAACGATGCCTGCTGCTTTGGCAAACCTCGGAACTCAGAAATCTTCTATGTTGATGGTGGTTAGTAAGCAATTGACAACCCATCCAATCCGTTCTGTCAAATGAGCTCAGCTCTGCCAAGGAACTCAAGATACATCTTCACATAGGGTGCAGGTGAGAAGTTCTTCTGCGCCCTCGAAGCAGAAAGCAGCGGCGAAAAAATGCACAACATACTTCAGCGCCAGGCGTTTGGGTGTGTGCGTGTTTGTGTTCATGCGCGTATTTGTTGGTTCCAGTCAAACCTGACACAAAATCCCAGTCCTTTGCAAATGCGATCTCGTCTTGGCTTTGGCCAGAATAGACGGACTTGTGACATTGCACAAGGAACGTAATTCCACTATGGGGATGTGTCAAAACCCTGACCCACTTCCGTTCATATCAAGATAGCTGGGAATTAGGGATGTCAGTTCATCCAAGAAAAAAATCCTTCCATTGGCCCCGCTGAATGAAATCACTGGTGGCAAGGCGCCAATCCCACGGCTTCGCGCATGCAAAGTGAACCACCGCAGCGTTTTTGGGGCTCAAGCCATCAAACAAGGGCCGCTTGCAATAGCGCACCTAGCTGCATCGGAAAATTGTGGTTTATAGGAAGTCGACAGGAAGCCCTTCGGAACTTCCACCCATTTTTAGGGGGTGAGAATGTAAATGTTCCCATAGTTCAAGTCTAGGAGACTGTATCGGAAAATATCTATGGTTTGAATCATTGAACTTCTTGGATACAAATGAGGACAGTCGTTGTCGTTCAGGTCCGGTGTGGATTTTCAAGCAAACGGCATATATATATACATATATATATATACATATGATCATACATGCAATCCTCTTGAAATCTGTGGAGATCATGTTCCCACAAGTAGAAATCATCAACATCTTCGCACATGCCGACTGATGCACTCCGCAAGCGGCCAAAGCACGGTAAAGTTGTATTCTGGCTTCAGCTCGTGCCATCCCAGTCCGCAACCACCACCATGGTCTGCGAGCTCCTCTCCTGACTCCAGATGGCTCCAGTTTTCTTCATGTCAGCTGAATCTCATCCCCATATATCCACATCCTGATATACATTGAACTCATTGCTGCATATCTCATATATTTCAAAATTGCATAAAATTGCCATTGCTACCCCAAAATTTGACATTGTTGGAAACCTCCTGCATTTCTGGATTCGTTTCAGGCCTGTCCTGAATCAAAGTAGATGGTGAAGAATCCTGTCACACTTTGACATCGCAACGAGATGAGATGTTGCGCTGTTAGTCTAGCTTCCAAGTCAGCAGTTCCTCGTGTATACTTCTTTCATACAATATCTGAATGTATCTGATTTATTCTGATTGCACGCCTATGCTTTCAAAAAACCAGTCAATGGATTTCGGCAAACTTGCAGCAAACCCACTGGACCTTGCTCAAAGTGCTTCCAGTCGTCAAGCTTCATTGGCCGATCGGAACCTGAACACCTGGCAGTGTCGTGATCCAATCAGACCATGGAATCAGCAACCAGTAACAACCCAACAAGTTCAGGTGTTTTCAAACAAAAATCAGCAAAAGTGATCTCTATCCCAATAGACTTGACTCAGGTTTGTCAGCTCGTCACAAGATATCACAAGCCACGGCACAACACCCAAAGTTCTGAGAAACGCTCAGGGCATGGTTGCAACACCAGGAAGCCTTGGCACTTGGCGGCTTTATGACAACTGGGTTTCTCTGAACAAACTGATCACACCCGCAAGTCACCCAAGTCCAATGGATTCTCATCATGTTCCTTCCTAGAATGACCATTTCTGGATCCCTTTCTAAATTTTGGGGGTAAACCCAGCTCTGCTCATCTCTGATACTCTTGCTGCCCCTGCCTGTCTGAGAAATCATCTCGCCATCCATATGTGGCTGAGAATCTGCTGCGGCCGCCAACTCAAAATGCCCATAGTCCTGGAAAACGTGGTCCAGGTTGCGTAGGACCCTTGGCGTCGTTTTTTTTGGATTGGCAACACACAGCTGCCGATTTCGTAAGCTGCCCAGCTAAAGTATATAGCTGATCAACAACCAGCAAACATGGCAAGGATTCTTCTGCTGTGCAGAGTACCAAAAAGTCGGGGAGAGTGGCATCCGAGCGTCAGAATGTCCGTGTCGATGTAGATTACTTTGTGGAATGGCAGTGCCCACAGCCAAATCTTGGAGAAGAAGCCACGAGCTTGAGGAGTGTCAACCCCTGGGGAGCGTGCAATGTTTGCCAAAAATGGTTTGACATGTTTTAACAGATTTGAAAACCGCATCGTTTTACACTCACAGCTTAGTTACCAAGCAACTGTTTTTGTCGATCCCAAAACATCATACAGCTGAAACGACAACGGTTTGGGTTTCGCGGTCCTTCATGCCCCACGAGGCCAACCTCCATCAGCAGCCAGCCGCTGCGTCGGAGGGCTTCACGCGCAGCAACACTGAGGCCGTCAGTGACCAGAGCCACCAAGGGTCGAGTGGTGCCTGGCTGGCGATATTCCCATGGTGATCATATACATAGTACATATATATAATTATATACTTATATATAATCCTCAATAACAAGATAGGTGAATAATTCCCTATGATTTATATACAACTGCAACTAATCAACCAGACCAGACTTAAGTGGTCACGGCTCATTTTTGGGCTAACCTTCGAGACTGGTGCAAGAAACATCAAAAAACTACCAGAAAGTATACAATCACCATTGCCAAGAAACTTTTAGCGGCAATAAACGCTCTGACTTCCAATCGACCATGGAGGTCTGTCTTGGAATTACCCAGCCTGTTGCTGCCAAGGATGCAGCCAGTATCTCAGCTCCAACCACGTAGTCCTAAGTTTGTTTGTCTGGCAAATGGTTAGCCAATCCACTGTTTCACCACAATTGTCCCCCAAAAAAATTGTTTGGGGGATTTTTGGGGTATACCCCATGATCAAACACACCCAAATCTTTGTGGAACACGTCTTGCGGTCCAGTGCTGCCAGGCGACGTCGTTCGTGAGGTGCGTGACGTAGACCTCGAGAAGGTCAGGGTCCACAGACTCTGGGAGTTCAGTCCAAAGCCTCGGATTCACAGATCTTCGATCCTTGGTGGTTGATGATTCATTCGGAGGTTATACTACCTAATATGAATATAAAGAAAAAGCAGGGGGAAAACAACCAGTAGGCGTTTCACACCCTGGGATCATTAAAGCTGCGCACCTTTTTGCTGGTGCGACTTCGGCCAATGTAGTAACGAAGGCTACTATGTTTACCCGACCCGGATGGAAGGGAAAACAATTCCTAAGGTATACAAAGACTACAAACTCTCCAGCTAACGCTTCTAGCTAAGAGGATATTTACAGTGGTTGATGCCTGTACGACGCATTGGGACTACCGCATGGTGTGAGCTAATGTAGACTATACATGTGGGGGTAATGGGGTCGTAATATTTCTACTCCCCCCTACCCAGTCCCACTCATCAAGACATCTACATCTACAACTACGTGGGGCCCATCCGTAGGAGCTCTAAGCTCACTTTGGAGGCCGGTGCGGATGCCTAATAGGCGCAGTGCTGGCCCCCATTTTTTGCGGTGGCAGTGCCTTTGTAAAGATGTCCGCCGCTTGGTCATCGGTCTTACTATACTCAAGTTCAGCTGAGTCATTGTGGAAGACTTCCGACAGGCCAGACAAGTTTATCTTATGGGTTCTAGTAATGTGTCTGAGTTTGGGGGAATAGCCTTTTCTAACCACAAGGATAGTGGCTTGATTATCCTCAAGAAATCGTAAAACAACACTACGTCCTAACAATAGCTCCCAAAGTTGCAGAGCAGGCAAGCCTTCCTGGTACAGCGAGTGCACAAGGACACGACTTCAGATTCAGTAGTGGACCGAGATGTCGAGGTTTGTCTCTTGCTCACCCAAGCCAAAGGAAAGAATGTGTTTGGACCATACAGTATCAAGAACCCCCCTGAGGTCGATTTGCCGGATAAACGATCCCCAGCCCAATCCGAATCCACATAGAGACGGAGTTCGAGCTGTTCAGGGCTATGTTTTTTGGTGCCGACTAAACGATAGTGAGATGTTGAATTGATATGCTGAGTGAGTCTTAACAAAAGTTTAACATCCCCCTGAACCAGGACAGCACTTTGGTGGCTAAACCGTTGATTGGTTTAATTAAATCGGATCTAGACAATCGGCCAAGCCACAACGCCTTCATTAGTATTCGGCATGTATCAGGCAAGCTCGCCCTTTGCTTCCTCGTCGTCAATTGAGACGGAGCCATCGGGGACGAATGGTGTTGCCGCATGTTTTAAACTAGTGGTGTTGGTGATGGACTTATATAGGTCTACTGTCTGGTGAGTGAGCATAACCTAGCATGTCAAAATCCAGGGCCTTTTGCGCGCGAGACGTAGCACATTCCTCATGACCATCGGCTTGCGTTAAAGGCATGACTATAATGATTGCGACCTAGAATTCGGTAAATGGGTCCAGGCAGCTCTATGTCGACAACTGATGTCAGCTTGGCCCAGAAGGGCTCATGCTCTTCTTTTGGACCGGCTAAGGTCAGATCATCAACATATGTCGAGAGTCACAACTTTGTTTCAGGGAAAAAGAAGTTACCCGGATATTCGGGAATCTCCTGACCGCCTGACCGCCTAAGTTCTTACTCATTTTCTCTAAATGCTGTTCCCACAGACTGCCAGCGTCTGGATGACCGTAAAAGGCTTTTGCAAGGAGAACTACAGGCTTAACGAATTTATCCCGTTGGATCCTCTAGGCAGTGTTTGGGTCTAAGTTCGGGAGGCAGTTCTATCCAGGTCTTATATTTGGAAGATAGGAGTGCTTGAACATAAGCCTTAACAGCATCGGCTGCTGAAGAACTATGACCCGGCAAGGAAGCATAAGCTAAACGTGCACTTAATCCCTGTACCGAAGTTGGATTGGCCCCCAGTTCTTGATAAACCGCGGCCGCCCCATGTTCGTCTTTAGCGCAGTTGCCCCTATAGACGATTCTACCTTTCATCTTTTTGTAGATGTTGCGCTAATTGATAAAACTTTATTGAGGCTATTGTCATCAGTTGACTAAAATGAACGGATACTCCCGGTTGCAGAAACCTGTTACCACTTCCACGAGGTGACGGAACCTTGGAGTTGGAGCTAAAAGCGGCTGATGTTCTTGAGGCGCTTCAGCAGCAGCCTCTTCCCCAGTCGGCTCTTTTTGCTCTGGAGGAGCTTCTGGGCCTTCAGATGGCTCTACTTCTTCTTCACCAGGACCTTCTTCGCCGCCTTCAGAAGATGGGTCTTCGTCAAGGCTTCGTCACGGGCTTCGGGCTCGTCAGGAGGAAAAACCACCTGGAGCCGCTGCAAGAGCAGTTAGCTGGGGAGTTGATCTTCGGCATCGGCACTTATAAACTTCCCTACCACCGGACGCAGCTGTGGTTGCAATGGACTCTGGAGGGTTGTCTGAGGCGCCGAAGGCAGCCTCTTCTGCAGGCTCAGAGTCAAGATGTTGTTCTGGGCCGGTGCCAAAGTCGATGAGATCCTCGGCAGGGTCCTGACCACCATGCAGTGACCGCGGGCGCTTCTTCAGAGAGATCTGCCCAGAGCTGGTTCCAGTACTACCTCCAGCAGTGACTTCGACGCTTTCAGCGACCTCTGCCTCTGCTTCCGGGTTCCCTCCCTCAGCTGTTTCCGGGGCGCTCAGAGCAGCCCCTTCCGGCAGATCCTCTGGGATAATACAATGGTGAAACAAAAGACGGTGACCAACCGAAAGAGCGGGCGATGGGGCCTATATTACGCAAGATGTGAAAAGCCTTTAAAACCCAAAAGAATCAATACGGCTGATAACCAGAGAAAACAGGGGGGAAACAACCAAGGGCTTTTCACACTTTTCACACCCTAGGATCATTAAAGTTGCGCACCTTTTTGCTGGTGCGACTTCGGCCAATGTAGTAACGAAGGCTACTATGTTTACCCGACCCGGATGGAAGGGAAAACAATTCCTAAGGTATACAAAGACTACAAGCTCTCCAGCTAACGCTTCTAGCTAAGAGGATATTTACAGTGGTTGATGCCTGTACGACGCATTGGGATTGTTGGTAGCACAGCTATAACTACTACCGCATGGTGTGAGCTAATGTAGACTATACATGTGGGGGTAATGGGGTCGTAATATGTCGTAATATTTCTACTTATATATATTATAGAGAATTTATAGAGATATAGATGAATTCGGAATTTTATCATGAATCATAATGTCTAGCCAATATATGCCAACATGACATGGGAATTCGATGGAAATCATCCATGAACGGCATGCGAAGCCAAAGAACCCACGCGTCAAAGCCTCCTGAACCGCCTCCGATCTCCTCAGAAACTCGCTGGCAAAGGCAGACTCCGCCAACCCACCTGATGCAGCGAAACCTCATGTTTCTCAAAAATCTATGATATCTTTCAAAAATCTGAAATTCCTCGCTGGAATCATGTTTGTTGCACTCCCCTTCCTTGGCACATTCTGTGAACGTGTCTACAAAGAACAGAATCGCCAGAGTGGTGACGCCTCCAGAATCCCCTTCCTCGCGCAAACGCGCGTGACTCCAGTGAGGCGTGGTCTCTTCACCTGCATGGATTCAACGTGACCTTTTGCACTGACCATGCTTGGGTCTTGCGGATGACCGTGGGAGAAAATTCATGAGTTTTCCCAACAAATCATGCGGCTATGCCCGGCTATGCAAAGCCAAGTATTGAGCTTGAGCCTACACTAATGCACGGGTAAGCGTGGCAAAAAAACTGGCAAATTTTGTAGGTCACCCTTGTCGTATTGTTTTGAAGAGACACTCCACACTGGATGCGCTCTACATAATTTCTGCCTTTGTCAGGAGCACGTGCAGCCGCGTCCATTTCGATCCAAAGCTGATCCACTTTGTCATCTCCAGGAAACATGCCAGCACCAGCGGTCATCTGCACTAATTTTGCCAAGATGTCCTGGAGATGTGGTTTCACAACGCTGTAGTGCACTCAGACACAGAATGATCCCCCTAAGCCATGACTCAAGATTTGGTGTCAGTGAATGCAGTTTGCGGTTTATCGCGGTTTATCATGGACTTGGCAAACCGTTCAGCTTCCCAGGCAGATTCCCACGGTCCGGTGGTGCGTCTTCGCAGCCCTCCGGCAACCAGGTGTGCTGCGGTGGATCTCGCTCCAGAGCCTCTTCTGCTGCCTGTCGCAAAGACCTCGGACGTCCCTGGGATTTCAAGGTGTTGCGTTGGTGCCCGGGAAACCCCCAGCCTTGATGCTTAATCACCATTAGTATTCTGAGATATTATGTGGAATTATTATGGGTTAATAGTTAATAGTTAATACCAATAATAATTATTATATATGGATATATATATATATACGTATACTTATATGCAACTGGGAGATTGCTACATAAGTTTGTTCATCCGCCGTGCGGCCAAGCATCTGCAACTTCTCTGACAAATCAATCACCTCTTGAGATGTGTTTGGCTCGGCCACTGACACAAGGGCCTCCAACAGCTTCAACAAGGGCCAGTAAACAATCTGAATCTGACAATGCCACAAAGTTGTTTTACGCATGTCTGAAAATACCGCTATACCCCAACATGGCTATGGAAGACCATGGAACCAATCATGATCTACCGAAATTTTATGAGATTCCCATTACCAAACTCATCCACAGCTCACCTTCCGTGGCCGCAACCGCGGGAGACCAACGGCTCCAGCCAGCCCTGCAACAGCTCCACCGGGCGCGGCGAGCCGACGGCTTCGCTGCAGGCTGCTGCCCGTGCTCCGCGGCGGGGCGAAGCTGTCTGCCTTGGGATGCTCAGCACATCCGGTGCCGAAGCCCAAAAAATCGGTTCAATGGGGTTCAATAAGGTTTAAATATGGTTGAATATCCAGATTTAGATGGCTTTAATCTCCAGAAATATTTCAACAGCGGGGAAATCGGATGAGATCATCTTCTCAAGCTGGACCTGTTCCTCAGTCAAGACACAGGCAGGACCCCGGCATGCCATAGCTCCATGACAGACTTGCGGCCTTTTCGATTTAAAGTCTGTGTATATGATCATATCATTGATGTCAGTGATAGTAGTGCCACTGCATATACAAACTATGTATGTATAATATATATATTATTTATTTTATTTTATATTGATGTGTGTGTATTATCTACTAGTCCTTCTTTTTAAGCAGAATGAACTCAAGATGTCCGTTGGAGAAAACGCGATCGCAAAAGCTCCACTAGTTGTGGCTTATTGTTTCATTCATTGGCCAGGTGATGCAAAACCTTGCAAAACTTGTTGCGCTAAGACGAGAAATTGCTGCAAATAGAAATGCTTGCATCAATGGATCTCTTCTTTCAACATATGCCAACCACTTTCTCGTCATTCTGTTGTTTGCTGCATTGGCGTATGTGATCGACTTGATCCGAAGCTTGAAGGTGCAACAATTAACGTACAGGAAGCAATGCCCTGACTGCGGTCTCTCCTAGGGTTGATACGAAAATACGCTTCAGCCAGGCAAATGTTCAAAGCTCCTCCAACCATTTCAGTTGCCGCCAAAGAGCCGGGCCTGGGGGAAATGGCATCTGCATTATCCGTGGGCCGAGTATGCCTAGTATCATCGCAACTTTCATTTTGAATCGAAATCTAAGATATCATATATGCATATTGATTATTGATATCTTTCCAAAGGTTTCCCTGTCTGGGATCCCACACTTGGTCGCGCAAAGGGTCTGGCCAAGCAAACCAACCTAGCTGCAGCGTTGAGGCTCCACTCCTCGATCATCTGACGATCCACGGGTCCCCAAGGTGGGGATGGTCCCACACCAAGAAGATCAAAAAAAAATACTGAGAAAGGCTGGACTCTCAAAAATATCACATCTAAAACTGGATGACCTGTGTCAAACAAAAGCGGCCACCTCTGAAAGCATCAGATGTGCCATGCACAATGTGCTGGAGCGAGAGATGCCAGAGGCGCAATGGACCAGAACCTCACTGATCAGAGCTTTCTCTTTCCCAATATGGGGGTGGATACTGTAGATACCTCAAAACGACATGTGTTTCAGGGGAACCATGAATTCACCAAATGTTGAGGTACTTTATATTGAATTGCATTGAATCCAACCCCAGACATCATCCCTGAGGGGACTAGTCCCCTGCCCTGTCGTCACCTCACTCTTGTAAGTCTGCCAACTCGGCTATGTCCGAGAATTGGGGTATTGTCCCTCCAAAATTCATTGCCATATTCTAAATTCTACGAGTCCGGGTGGTAACTTACGCCACAACGGACTGCAACGCTTTGTACCGTTTTTTATCTGTCTTAAACCTGACACCAAGGGTTGTAAACCACATGGCACACCATCAACTTGACCTCTAGAAGACCAGGAGTTCTACATGTCATTCTCATTAGCGGACTCTCATTCCTACCCTGGGAAAAATATACCCACAAAACGCTTTTCCCAGTGGCACACCAGGAACATTCCAGCACTGAACAACACAGCACAACGGCACTGAGATATTCAAGGTACCGCTTGACAGCGGATTTTGCAAGGCAAGGCAGCAGGGATCTTTTCTACTCTTCCATTCTCTGCTCTACGCCTCTCTAATCACTTCTGCTCTTCAATTCGATTCTCTTCTCTACTCTTCTGTATATAGTCTCTTCTACTGTTCTCTCTTCTGTGTGAGTCAAGCTATTGAGAAGCCATCCCCATGAGTTTCTATCTCAAAAAGAATATGTCTCAGAAACATGTGTGCCCCTGCAAAGTGTTGGAAAAATCAATGCCACAAACAATTGATTCATCCAGCAAGAATGACATGTAGATCATGGACTTCCCAACGGCACACCGTTTGCGGCACAAGAAGATGACCGCGGCATACAAGTAAGTTACCACTTTGACCCAGTAACCAGTACATCTGATTTCATCTTCATAACTCCCATTTTTTCCAGCTGATGAACTTATGAACCGTAAAATTCATGTGAACATATTGGGAAAAATGGTGAGTTTCACATGTTCACCATGAAATTTGGATATTTTCTGAATAGTAATAGTTCCTGAACAAAGGATAGTTCCTGAAGAAATCTTTCATCAAATTTGGGGCCCAACACTTCTCCAGGCCACCCAGCACCGTTATTCGCTCGACCCTCCGCTGCAAACTCCGATGCCGCGCGCAAGCGAGCGAAGAGGTCGCCCTGGAATAGAGGTCGGGACTCTCCAAAATTTTGGGCAGGAAAAACCCCGAGAGAACCCCGAAAATTCCGTTTTTCTGGAGGGAAACTCCGGGAAAATGATAAGAATTCGTGATAAACCACTGGATCTTGCGGTTTTATCCTAAGTGGTCAAACAAACCTATGTGCCTGTGCTCATCTCCCATGCGTGACACCTTGACTCATGAGTTGTTGTGGTGCATCCTCCAACTCTGGGTGCGCTACTTGGGAGATGCCGTCGTCGTGATCGTCGGCCTCGCCATCGTGATACTTCTGTTTGGGGTGGCTGATAACGCCACCTGCTGAAATTGGAAGTGATGTCATACCCTGGGAAGGATAAAGCCAATGTATTGCGTTTGGGAAGTGATTGGTTTGTAACGTCCTTCAAATTCCTAATTTTGTTGATAGTCAAAGCCAAAATGCTGCTGGTGATGCTTCTGGTATCCGCCTTCTGATATCCGACTCGAAAAATCACATCTCGCACCGAGATGAAACAGGATGCAACGGGTTGTTTCCTTCGATCCCCTGATAACATGAAATATATGAAATCGGCTTGATCATGCAATATCTCATGTTTGTAAATGTGAAGTTAATATGTTTTTCATAGGTTTGTAAATTTGTAAATGTGAAAGTCCTGTGAAAGTGGCTGTGGCTGCAACAATCTCCAGTATCGCTGTGAATCCAACAGCTCCAACCTCGAAAGTGTGCAGGCGCATGCCAGCAGCTTCTACATCAAGACCTGTCAGCTTGGGACTAACCAGCTCTACGTGGAAACATGTGGAAACCAGTCCAAAATAGACAAATTGCACATCGAAGTGAAGGAGCTTCACGAAAATTTTAAGAGGGAGAAACAACATGGACAGTAAATCAAAGAGATTGGGACAATTTTAAACCCCCATTTGATTCAGACTTGCACAGTCAAATCGGTCCAGGAAGTGCCAAGAGTGAACCCCCAAGTCCATCTGCAACGCATGAAACACTCTGGTCATTGATCTCAGTAAAGTCTTGGTTCCCTAAGACCTGCACCAATCCATTGTTGCGTTCCTTCCTGTGAAGAAAATCATCTGGATCTTATTGACTTCCAATGATTTTCCAATCATCCAATTGGGAAAATCATCTGGAATTGGATCTCATGAATCCTCCAATTCCAGTGGCGACTTTCCCAAAATGGCCTGCAGCACGGTGCAAAGAGCTATCTGCTGCGTTCAGAATGTGTCGCCTGGGATGGCCACGTCACGTCCATGCGGTGGCTACTTCATGGCACCAGGCAGGGCACCGGGTATTTGCCAAATTTGGAGACAAAAATGTACTCAAAATTTGGAAATCACTCACCTGCGATCATAGTGCATAGTTTTCCATGCCCAGGAGAGCAACCACAACAGGTCCCCGATAGTTCTGCTTCTGCTAAGCGACACGCCGCGCTGCTTCAGCTCGTCAAAGTGATCCAGAAAAGATGGCCTCAAGTGATGTGGTTTGATTCAAACATCCGGTAATCAATCATGGCAATTGGAAATCTGGAAGTAGTGATTCAACGGGAAAATCATCTACAACGGTGGATTTTCCATTTCCATGTCATTGGTGATGACGGTTCGAAGGCCTGAGTCTGTGACAGGCCACAAATGTACAAACCACGACGGATTTCATCAGGTGGTGCCTGAACAGCAGATGGTTGAAACCATCAGAAACAGAACTGCAAAAGTACAACTTGATCACATGACTCACATGACACGGCATCTTCAGCATTCAAGTACCGTGAGAGTCAAGTTGCCAAGTCCTGATCAGCCTGAGCCTCCCCGCCAGAGCTGTGGACTCACCCCGCAAGCGCTGCAAGAGGGCCTGCCATCTCTTGGAGTGTGCGACCAAGGATTCTGAAAGTCTTCAGTTTTGCGCTGATTGATGCTGCTTATACATACATACGTACATATATATATATATATACATGTATACATATGTATATACATATGTATATATGTATGTACATATGTATATATGTATGTATATATATATATGTATGTACATATGTACGTGTATATATATATACATGTCTAGCTTTCGTGACACCAGACCCCTTCAGCAGTCAGACCAACGATGCCTCTGAGGACAAGTTGCGGCCTCGCCGCAGGACCTCCGACGAATGCCAGTGGCTCAAAACTTGGTCAGCTGGGTGTGCCTGAAATGGGGGGATCACTGTAAGCCATGATTATAGTTACTATGGGTTTTTTTAAGGGAAATGAAGATTAACCATGATTAACCAATAGATTTGGGGGCACCCCATTTTGAAAACTCAGCAGCTGACAGAGACTTGCCTTTGTCTGCCACGGCAAAGTCTTGCCGATCATGAGGTGCGAATGGCCACGTGCCCAACTGTTGACAAACTACAAATCAAAAAGATTTGTTTAGCCGCTAAGAGCTGTGAAAAGCAATCAATGACTCTTTGAGAACGTGTCAGCTGACTCTAAGAATTTGCTCGCCTCTGTCGTGATGCTAAAGATGCCAAAGGGTGAAAAGGCCAAAAGCACGCACAAAAGATGCATAACTTCTGTGATGTCTCTGTTCTAGCTGCCACACTTAAGATTCTTCCCAAGTGGTTGCTGGCTCAATCGATGAGCCAAGTTCTGATTGAGCCAGGAAGCTACTTTTTTGCAAGCAAGTGGAACGGGCAAGACTAAAAGCAAAACAAGAAGGAAAACCCAGGAAAAAGAATGATTTAAGCAAGACAAGATGATGCTTAGTGATATGTAGTGATTCTACTTCACTGTAGATCTGGATTCGGTAATCGGTCTGCCTTTTTCAAGGACAAATTTCGCCA